TTTTTTTTTTCTGTTTTTTTTATCTGTGTTTCCTCATTCACTCGATGCTACACTGCATGTACAGGCCGCAAGAAAAACCCACACTTCGTAAAGATTCCAATTACTCTTCGGAGTCTTTCCTTCGTCGCTCTTCGGGGCCTAGTATTAGTCTCCGACCAATCGAAATTTGTTAGCGCTCGAATGATAGAAAATGTGGCCCTCGGGCATCATCGCCGCCAGACCTGGGACACCAGCGAGGCGAGCGCATACATCATCTTCCCTGGAACTGGTAGTCGATCCTCGGCACAAGAAGGAAATGCCCGCGGATTTTTACTCCAATATTGACCGGAAGAAGTCTAGGTCTACTACTAGCTCTTTTATTCATCTGTTACAACCAGAAGAACAACCCCGCCGAGCTGAAGAACAAGAAGCATATGAGGAGTCGCAGTGGACAGACGTTGACGCTGATACCGTCATTGGAGACGATGCCACTACAACTACTTTCGAAGAAGAATCGTCGAGGACCCACTTCTTGCAATCTCGTCTCAGGGATGAGAATGAAGAGGAGCATCAGCATGTTAACGGCCACCGCAGTGCGGCGGCCGCGGCGTCGTTCTTTCAATCGGGACCTGCAAGTGTTTCTGGAGAAGAAGCTGCTGCTACTGCTGCGTCGGATAATAAAAGCGGCGAGACTTCTGCAGGAACGCGAACGAGTGGATGGCGCGACGTCTTCACCCGTAAGTACTGGAGGCGACAGAAGCGCGGCACGCCCGCGGAGGCGGCGCACTTTCTGGAACTCATCCGGGTCCTGCGCAAAGCGATCTGCGAACACGAAAAGCCGTACGGGCGGCTCGGGCCCCCGGGAGACCAGCCGGAAGCGCTCGAGGCGATCGCGGAGAAGAGGTTTCCCACCCTGCAGCTGATTTTGAACACCGAAGTGCACTTTTCCGTCGGGGTCGCCGACTTGTTCCTCTACGCCCGCGGCTGGGCCGTTCCCTGGCACTGGCAGGTTTTTGGGGGCAACGGGGCGGACGGGGCGCGGCGGGCGAAGAGTGAGGAGAGCACGCTCTTTTCAGAAGTTCTGAATCCCGATATCGTAAGGAAAAATCCCCCCTCCCCATATCGGAAACGGAAGACGCGCGAATTTGTAATGCTGTATTTGAGTACACAAATCGACTTGTATTGCTAGAAGGCCAAGAGACGAAGCTGCGGCCTAAATTGCAGGTAATCTGTCATGCTGTTTCC